GGTAATGTTGAAGAATGTCCATCTTGCAAGTTCCACACACGTAACCGTGTTCTCTACACGCTTAATTCTCCACACACGTAAACCGTGTTCTTTACATGCTTAATCTCCACATACGTAACCATCTAAAAAGTTGTTCAATCTGATGCACTTTTCCATATCGTAGTAATTTGAAAGCGTAACACAGTTATCTTTAGTAACTCTTATAGAGTTGGAGAGTACATGGAAATACAATAACATTAATAAGAAATTTCAGATACTTTTATATTCTCTCATCAATGGAAAGCAACAATGATTGTTTATAATTGGTCATTAAAGTATGCTAATTGAAACTGGAACATCTATAATGTGTTTCATATTCACCCAGCAGAAATGATAACTACATACTTCTCCTGGTCAATCTTATAAAAACCTACATTTCTTACTTTAACTCTGGAAAAAAAGGTAAATTTACCTATTAAACAAGATATTTAGTTTCAGTTGTAAGAGCCAAAGCCCAAGTTGATGCTAAAATTTACAGAGATCGTTACCTGATCAAAATCATTGTCAATTTTCCCACCATAGATACATTGGCCAAAGAGAGTGCATAGTGCATTCCATGGAACTTTTTCTGGGGGCAAATTGGCACGCCCCTAAACAAAAAACAACAATAAAAGTCGCACAACTTCTAAACACGAAATGTACTTCTAACAGATCAGTCACTGACACACACCTTAACATTACAAAATCTGAAATTATAAAGAATTAATTAATTTTGTATAAAGAAACACAAAGTCATCAAGCTAGTTTATTTATTTATTCATGTTAACTAGTACTATATATATCATGACAGGCATCTTATGTACAGAAACTGAACCAGACTTTTCATCAGCTACCAAGATGTCATAAAATTCATAACAAAATATCATAAAATTCGTCGTTCTAACCATTAACTCGTATATTACGTAAAATGGTAATAAAGACAATTATTTAATAATAATATATGTATAATACATCCCAACAAGTTCAATGTTTCATAAGTAAAACCATTTCTTATGTTCCCATTAAAATAGAATAAATGTTTAGTGCCCAAGGTTTCTCGTAAGAAAAAAGCGTCCTCATACACCATTTACCAGTGAAGGGAAATGTTTAATTCTATGAATTTGAATATGAAACTTATTTTTCACTAATATACAAAACTACTGAAGAAGTTTCGGTAGTATATTTTCAAATCAAACAAAAACCTTTTTTTTTAGCTTTTATATATTTCTCATGAACCTGATTTTAAAATTCAAGTATCATGGTGATCTAACCATTGGTAGAAACCGTACAAGGTGACAAGCAGATTACTATATATTTAGATTAACAATTAAGCTTCAAAGTTCTATTGATAAATACAAGTTACTTTTACTACTCTATTGATAAATGAGTAACATGTCTTACCATTGCAACAGTTTCGATCCAGGTATCCAGGGTATCACAAGCCACTCTTAAGTCAGACTCGTTAAATTCATAGTGCTTAGCCCAACCTAGGGGTGAATAACGAAGCCTTTCTTGAACAATAGCATGGAACCAAGCAAGAAGGAAGTAGAGTCTGGCTCGTTCTCCAGGAGCCTGGAACAATCAGATGAAAAATACATTTATATTAGTTAGTTAACAACAAATTAAGTAATTTTGATTTTTTTACAAATGATATCTTCCATGCTTTACAATAATGTGATAATAATGGACAAATTCTATCTAACTATGTACAATCTCTCTCTGACAGCTGAAAAGAGGTATATTTAAAGATATTTTCTGTTAGATTTTCATTAAAAAGTTAAATTTCAAAAATGCTATCTGGTTTACTTACAGTCCCAGTTTCAAACCACCATATTTGATACAGACTAAGTTAGTTATACTTCCTAGTTTGAATAAGACGACACCACACATCGATAAAAGTGATTACAAAAGTTCAAAACTTGAGCTTTTACAAAGTGGAGCTATATTTCACTAAAAAGTAAATAATTCAATATCTATCATTAAACAATCTTGAGTAGCACATTACTTAATCCCTGTAGTGCATGTTGATGATAAGAGGACCTATTAACACTAGAAATAAATGACCTTATAACACCAATATGTTGTTTTTATTTAATTTGACACTCAACGTTTTGTTTTACAGCTTCTTCAGGAGCTTTCAATAAAACACAGACTGAAACTGACAGTACAAAGCTTTAAACAATTTAAAACTTTGTACTGTCAGTTTTGGTTTGTGTTATAGTGAACGTTCCTGAAGAAGCTGTAAACCGAAACGTTGAATGTCTAATTAACTAAAAACAACATTTTGGTGTTATAAGGTCACTTATTTATAGTATTAATAAATCTTGGGTAGCTAATGCTGTGTTTGAATTTAATACCTCTGTAACTTGCAAGATTTATTTGTGCTTGTGTTCACGTGTGTAGTGTGCAAAACAATAAAGAAGTCAAAGAACCAATAAAAAACTTGAGATAAAATCTTCCATTTCCTAAATAACCTTAATCTCAAATGTAACATGAATAAAAAATAGATTTGTTTAATAAAAATAACCATTGAATCTTTAGGAAAATAAAAGGCCTGAATTTAAAAAGAAATTCGGAGATAAAGTGACCTAAACTGTTCACCTGTAAAAAAAGAACAAAAGAAAATATCTCACCTTCATCATACGCTGAGCAGGAACCTGGCTGAATGTTCGTAACAGGTTAGCCTTGATGCCTGGTGGAGGCTCAAACACAAAAACTCTACCTGCTCGAAGAAGGTTGACAGGAATCTTGGGATGGATCTCCAGTGTCAAAAATAGACGGAAAGCTGGGTGGGGCTGCAGTGTGTGAAGCTTCTTCTCTAGCTGTACAAGCCACTGAGGTGCAAGATGGACATTCTTCAACATTACCCACCTGTGAACAAAACAATTACAAACAGTTGACATCGCCGCACACGTAACCGTGTTCTCTACACGCTTAATCTCCGCACACGTAACCGTGTTCTCTACACGCTTAATCTCCGCACACGTAACCGTGTTCTCTACACGCTTCATCTCCGCACACGTAACCAGTGTTCTCTACACGCTTCATCTCCGCACACGTAAACAGTGTTCTCTACACGCTTCATCTCCGCACACGTAAACAGTGTTCTCTACACGCTTCATCTCCTCACACGTAACCGTGTTCTCTACACGCTTAATTCTCCACACACGTAACCGTGTTCTCTACACGCTTAATTCTCCACACACGTAACCATGTTCTAGATGAAGCGTGTAGAGAACACGGTTACGTGTGCGGAGATGAAGCGTGTAGAGAACACGGAAGATATGCATATTTAATAAAGTAGTAGTCACTCTCTACTTTTAAAATTTCAAAATACTCCTTTTCTCCCTTTTGTGCTTCATTAAATGCTGTACTATTGTTGCAGTATTCTCTAACGTTACAGAAATGGGAAATACTGTGCCTTTATATAATTTCTAGCATTGTGTGTGTACTGAAACAAATATTTATTACAGCAATGTACATCACATGTACTGAAATTAATGTCAGTTGAATTATTTTAAAATGTTTAATTTTTTAAATGTTATATCTTCCAGTGAAACAATGTATTCTCTTAAATAAATTACATTGTTCCACTTTCTCACAGAGCATTATATTTAATTAAACTTATATAATTACAGTGTATTTGTTCTTTGTGAGTTTGATTTTTTTTTAAAATTATTTTAAATAATGTTGTGTTATGAAACTAGTTGCAATATATTTAAGGAAGAAAATATTTTGTTGTTCAAAATAGACACATGTATATCACTTTGAAGTTTTGATAGTACATATAGAAGTATTGCTAATAGCAAATAATTTCATAGTTTTGGGCATTAATTTCACTAAATTTTCCTCTGTTTTAGAATAGAAAGAACTTGACATGATCTTTTGTTGCAATTCTTTGAACAAATTGTATTCTGTAATCATCTTATTTTTTCAGAGACTTCTGAATTCCTTCTTGGAGAAACTATTTACATCTCGTAGTTTTGAACCAGACTTTGCTCTTGTATCTGGCATTGATGGTGATTCAAAGAAATGTATAACCATGCCTGAAGGAATTAGGTGAGATGATTCTATAGTTCATCTTTTGGACTTTACATAAATGTTATTACATCTACTGTCTATTGGGTCAAATACACAAACTTGTACTGCAGTGACTTGAAACACTCAGTGAAACGTGCACTGCAGTGACTTGAAACACTCAGTGAAACGTGCACTGCAGTGACTTGAAACACTCAGTGAAACGTGCACTGCAGTGACTTGAAACACTCAGTGAAACGTGCACTGAAATGACTTGAAACATTGATAATGTAAAGTTAAACACAAACACCACCTCAATAACCCGGCTATCCCACTGGTAACCTAAAGTTTAAACACCCCCTGAATGACCCGACTATCCCACTGGTAACCTAACGTTTAAATACCCCCTGAATAACCCAACTATCCCACTGGTAACCTAACGTTTAAACACCCCCTGAATAACCCGACTATCCCACTGGTAACCTAACGTTTAAACACCCCCTGAATTTTCAAAACCTTGC